TTTTATTTTTGTATTTTCTTTTTGTCTTTGATTGTTTGTATATGTGATGCCGGGATGTATAGAAAAAAAGGAGAGCAGGGTGGGTATAAATCGATCACTAAGGCCGAGGATTCGTTCCGGTGCAGTGGTACAAGCGTCCCCGCGACAAAATCCAAGTCCAACTCGTGCGACTAGCCAGCTCACGGGTTTAAAGCACTTTAAAGTCCACGATTACGGAGTACACATTTTCAGCTACGACTCAGCTTGTTGAAACGTTGGGGAATAGAAACCGAGGCATGTATCACGTGCACGGACCAAAGGATAGCTTATCAAATGTTGCAAGAATGGGATTCATAAATCGGCATAACTTGCGCTGCATGCGGAAACTAAAAGATGGCCATACAATTCGGCGGACTTGAAACGCCCTGGGCACAATTCAGCGGACTGCTAGAAATAAAGAAGGTCCAGCGCCCCAGTTGCTTGCACGTCTCCGCCAACTCCTCCAGGTCGAACATCTCGCCGATCGGCACTCCCCAACCGGCAAGCATATGATGGTGCAGATCATACTCGGGGTTGAGGGCCGGGAAGACCTCGAAACTAACCGCATCGGATGCCACTGCTGCAAAGTGGTTATCCCACATAAACCGGAGCACGTTCTCACTCTGCTCGAGTCCCGCATGCTTGGGCACCGTTTGCTGGCTGTATTCCTGCTTCTGGGCGTCGCTCATGGAGTACCAGGTCTTGGTGAGGCCCACGCGGAGAAAGAAGATGTCTCCGCGTTGGAACTCGATGTTGCATTCGCGTGCGATGGCCAGCACGTCGTCGAGAGGTACCACATGCTGGCTGAGTCCATTTACAGTAATGCCCTTCTTCTCGGCCCAGGATAAGTAGTCAATCAAGACACCCCGACCGGCGATTCCCTTCTTCGCCCAGTACCCAATCCCGATCCGCGATGAGCTCGAGTCCTGGATTTCTTCCGCTGTAGTACCACCGTAGAATACGCGGCGAGCTTGATCCTCACGCGTCGGGGCAGGTGCACTATGGTGTCGGAGGCCATCCCACTGAGAAGATTGTTGTGGGTTGAAATGATACTCATCGTCGAACGCGATGCCGGGAGCCACCCATTTGATGCGATGTTCGAAAGGCTTTCGGCGGAATCCTGCGGGCGAGTTAATGGACCGTCCCGGATATACGATGGAAATCTTATCACAGCCACGGCAAAGGACTCTCCATGGCTGATGCCGGTGATTCTCCTACCTGGTGTGTCCAACTGTTTCAGATCCCAATTTAAACAGACTCTCAGCCCGGTTTGAATCTGTGTCCGTGCGGCGTCCGCTACGATCTCCGGCGTCAGGATGCGAAGCATGCCTAGACCCTCTTCCGGGGATCCAGCGGCTGCCGGCCAGTATTGTCTCTTGTTGGGGAGATCGTCATATTTTTCAGGTAGATTGTCGATTCCGTTTGTCATGGCTGCTGATGAAAGGAGCAATTGGCCGAAATGTATCGATCTAAAGGTCAACAGCTCTGTGGGCGCATGGGAACGCCCCTCTTGGATTTATAGAGCATTGTAGAAGTGGGGAAATTAAATTAATCGGACCATGTCCGAGAGCAATTAATTAGAAAAAGAGATACCCAAGACAAGAACAGGGAGCCCACTGACACTTTCGGATACGTGGACTCCGAACTGTACATCTATATGCAATGGTGCTCATGGAAGGGTGAATATCTGCTAAGACAAGCCCATCTCAGTCATTTGCAGGCTCCTGGTATTTGAGAGTTGACTGTGCAATTTCTACTTTATGGTGTATTCAAACAATTAAAGATACAAAAAAACAAGAAAAAAAGGAAATAAGAATACAGCTTTATCCAGCTTACAGGTCATCCACATCTTGATCGGCAGCTGCAGATTTACCCTGCTTATCAAGACGAGACATTTCGTGCTCCTCACCCGCACGTCCAGAACCTCCCGGAGTCGACATTGCGATGGCTTGTCGCCCGGTGTCGGACGACTCGAGGAATTCACGCAGCCGCTTTTTGCCCTCTGTTACTGCTTGGTTCGAGGCAGCCTCGGTCATTTTGATGATGGGGCCCCATAGGTTAAGCTGGTAGGTGATGTAAGCTCCGACAGCACAGACGAAAAGGAGGAAGAAGTAAGCCGGGTTACGGAGCACTGTGAATCCAGATGTTAGTCTTCAGCGGATCGTATATAACTCAAGCACTAAAGTGAAACTCACCGGCAATAATCTCATTCCATCCCAGTGCGAGGAGGATGCCGTAGAAGTACAAGGGCACTTGGGTCATGCCTCCAATGGCGCTCCGTTTAGCCTCAACATACACTCCATCCGCGGCCTTCTTGAAGCGAACGGTGAGCTCCTGTCGCTTGGCATCACTGACAATAGTCATTTCTTCTTCCAAGCTCTTGCCTTCCTCCTCGTCCACCCCACCAATGGGAGGCAGGTCTTCCTCGTCAGCGGGGGTCGCGGAGCTAGGCGTGTGCCCGATCCAGCGGTCCAGAGGGGGCGGGGCAGACGTCTCGTCAAGTCGGAATTTGGACAGAAGGGGAATAAGAGTCAACGTTGATTCACGAGCGCGAGTGTATATCCTTCGATATCATCGGTCGGGCGCCAAATCCGGGGAACACCAGCATCATCGTAGCGGAACTTGTCTTCAAAATTCTCGCGCAACTTCAACAGCAGATTGCCTTCGATCATCTCTTCATCAATCTTAGCGCGCAGGACGCCCCAGGACTTCCTCCGCAGTCTCCAGAGTCCGACGTCCACTTCCTCCAGGCTGGCATCGAAACTGCTAGCGCGGTCTGTGAATCGCCTCTCGGCATCAAGGACTGTCTCGACAAACACGTTCCACACGCGATCCCAGAATTTCTTTTCCGTTGGCTGATCTCCCTTCTCCGGCGCACCACCACCAGCTCGTCCAGAACCGAGAGCGTTGAACTCAAGCCCAACAGATTCGCCCAGTCGAGATTGAACCCATCGTTCCACCCGGCTGGCAAGACGTCTCATCTCGTCCCTTCTTAGGCGCGCACTGACTTCCGCAAGCTCCTTTTCATACAAGGCTAGCTCTTGCTTATAGTCACTCCAAGAAGTGCCATCCACCACGGTGGCACGAGCGACTTCCTCAAAATTGTCCACAGCCTTCTTAGCCTCTTCATTGACAATCTCTGCGAAATCGTACCCGGTGCCCTTCTTCTGGCCGGACTTCACTGCGGCCGAGACTGCATCGCTAAAATCACTGATTCCCGATTTGTGCGCCGCATTGAGCTGACCCTGGAAAAGAGCCTTCAAACGGGTATCAGCTTTGCTTTCGAGCTCTGCCCGTTTGCGCTGGTAGACGCCTTTGTGGTACCGACTAGCCTCAGTCTCAAAAGCCTTGACAGCCTTGGTGCGTGACGACCGCATCGCCGCTCCCAGGCCTCCAAGAATCTCCGGTTCTCCAAGGCGAGCGGCTTGCGACTGTTTATCTTCAAAGGGAATAATAGCCTCGTCGAAGGCAACCATTACTTCCCTCAGGATTTCGTCACACCTAACTGCGCAAGCAACTCTTGTTGTGTGGGCAGATCTAGATCCTTATTGTTGACGATTTGATCCCAGATGCCTTCGGCGTATCTAGAAACGCCGTCCGCAGGGATACGCCGGTGATACTCCGGGAGGAAAACACCACCATCTGAGAATTCGCCTTTCCGCGCATCTAGGTTAGGGTCCCTCTGGCCATCGCGGAAACGAAGACTGAGCTTCTGTGTCTCTTCCACAAACTTCTCTGGCTGGTATCCTTTGTGCGGCAGGCCGTAGAACTGGAAATCGAAGTAATCATGTGCGTTCGAGTTCTCCAGGCCAGCAGGCTTAGATATCGAGTCCCAGAGACGAGCCATATCTTCCATCAAGGTCTTCTGCAAGTTCTGGAGTGGCGTCATTCCCGAATAGTCACGAATGACGAAAAACAAAAGCGATCGATGGGTGGTACTGCAATAAATATTAGCACGAGAAGGATCCGGAGACTGCGCTGGGGGGTTGTACTTTTTATCCTTGAGGAACAACTGCAAGTTGACTTCGAAGACAGTCTTTAGAAGCCCCATATTCGCGCCCTGGTACAATCCGACCTGGTGTTCCCAGATATTCACAATAAGAACCTCACTGGTCGCCAGTGCGAAAAGGGCACTCTTGCGCTCAAAGTCCTGGTCTTCACCTCGCTCACGGCCGTCCGTACCCTCCACATCCATAACTAAGATGTTGCTGGCCATGGTGGGGTTCTCATTTTTATTTTTTGACATCCAGATTCCCTTTGTTGTCTGCCGTCTCTCCAACTCTGACATGACAGAGAAATGCGTGCCGAAAAGGTGATTGAGAAGCGTAGATTTACCTGTCGACTGCGATCCAAAGACGGAGATAAGGTGGTAATTGAAGCCGGAGGGAGTAACATTTTCAAGGCTCAGGTACTGCGCCAGATTCGGGCTAGGATTACCATTAGCTTTCGAAGTTAAACTCCTTATTCATACACTGTCCGTGAAGAAGCGCATCACGGCGCAATGTACATGTCTTCGAGAAGATATAATGGAGGCATAGAGAAATTGCACCGAAGACAGGTAAAGACGTACTTAAATTCCTTGTTCTCATCTATTACTTGTACCCCGTGCTCATATGCTGTACTATCACTGGCGGAATTGCCAATGGAGGCGAAATGGCCGTTCATAGCCATGGTCAAACGCACCGTCTGGTGTAGGCAAATTCCACCGGCTGTGGTTGCAAGAATTGGGTGGCTCTAAAGTAATAAACGGGGTGTTTGTTTTGCGGATGATGTCGCACTTGGGGGGAAGTGGGAAGCACAACGTCAGGGTGTGGAGAGGGTGGCGAAAGTTGGGACAGATACCGTGTGAGGCGGGTGGAAAGCGTCAACTAAGTACATGTAGTATGAGATCGAAGGTAGATCACCCAGAAGTAAGGAGAATCACAAGACTTAAGAAGGACGGTCCTGTGAGACTACACCCGAGGGTCGGCTGGGGTCTTGTGGATAGGGAGGTTGTCGGTTGGTTGTCCGGAGTACCCTTGACGCCTGAGCGGCCAGGCCACACCACCGAATCCACCGCGTGCCTAGGCGTTGCTGCATCTGGTTTAGTGACGATCGATCCATCTATCATGTGGAACACACGACGGTGACGGAGTCCCCTCTACATACCCAAAACAACGGCCCACTCCTATTTACGGAGTACAGCGATTAAGGAGAGCTGGACTAAAATAAAATTCAATAAAATCAAACACAGAGGGTGAACAATCTTCCGTCCATAACTAAGAAGGAACAAGTACGATGCGCTTTCCAGCCACCTCAGAATAACCTCCCGATATCTTCACAGTACAGATAAGTCCAACCTAACTCTACATCAAGACCGCTATTGAAATCGGGCCATATTCCACTCTATGTTGCCCAACAACCCCTGGAACGTATGGATAGGGTTCAAACTCAGGTGTTGCAACAGGTGGCATATGCTACGTTTGGCTACATGATACGTCAGGATAGTGGGTTGCTAATATTCTTCCAATTGGGTTATTGTCCGTCCTGGGTACTGCATGTCTCGCACGATTCCCTATGAGCTAGGTAATAGGACGGTGTACAGCTGTCCCCAGGTCTCAAAGCAAGAGTTAGTAGACAATCAGATTCACCTGTAAACCGCCGGGCCAAGGCCTAGGCAAGTTACTCTAGAGTAGGGTATAGGTGGCCGTAGGATTGGGGCTGGAGAGATAATTATAGACCTCGAATTGATAGCCACCGGTCTGGCCAGAGTTATAGATAAGTTGGTCTCCGCTTTACTCTTTCAAAGTCGATACGTGGACTGAGTTTTGTACATTATATTAATCATCGGATTCATATTCAACGACATACCTAGATAGAGGGGAGAATTGTAGAAAAGAAGAGAAAAATAAAAAGTCTACATGGGTAAATACAATACAGGTACATGGCATGACTCACGAACTCCGGTATCAACGTTTCCCGGATCCCTTCGCTGATTCCCGCGCTGCAAGAAAAACAAATCCGGACATAAATTTTTCATAGTACAAAGGCCGCTGATTCATCAGTGACCGTAACGATCTGGCATTTATTTTCCGTCCATGACACGGGTAACGAGACCAGTGGCAACGGTACGGCCACCCTCACGGATGTTGAAGCGCTGGCCAGCCTCAGCAGCAATGGGGCGGTGAGTCTTGAGGATCATCTCAACGTTATCACCGGGCATCACTCTCCGGGATTCATCACCGTCGGGGAAGCTGAGGTCAGCAGCCTCGTCTAAAATACAGTTAGAACCTATCCAAGACCATTAAGTGAGAACAAGGCTTGACTTACCAGCAGTGCGAACGAACACCTGGGGGCGGTAGTTGGCGCCGAAGCCAGTACGACGGCCACCCTCAGCCTCAGTCAGAACGTACATGGACACCATGAACTTGTCATGGGCCTTGGTGCTGCCAGGAGCAGCAATGATCATACCGCGCCTGACGTCCTCACGACGGATACCACGGAGAAGCAGACCGGAGTTGTCACCAGCGCGAGACTCGTCACAAGACTTCTTGAAGGTCTCAATGTCGGTGACCTTGGTCTTGGTGGCATCGAAGCTACCTCCGATGATCTCGACTTCGCTATCCTTCTTCAGGATACCACGCTCGACACGGCCGGAGGCAACGGTACCACGACCGGCAATGGAGAAGACTTCCTCAACAGACATGAGGAAAGGCTTGTCAAGATCACGCTGAGGGGTAGGGATCCAGGTGTCGACAGCCTTCATGAGCTCGTCGATACGCTCGGCACCAATATCGGGGCGACGGTCCTCCAAAGCACACAGAGCAGAACCGAAGATGATGGGAGTCTCTTCACCCTCGAAGCCGTAGCTGCTGAGGAGCTCACGCATTTCCAACTCGACAAGCTCCAACATCTCAGGGTCCTCAACAGCATCAATCTTGTTGACGAAAACGACGATCTTCTGGACACCGACCTGACGGGCGAGCAGCAAGTGCTCACGGGTCTGGGGCCTGTTATAATACGTGTAAGCACGAAATCCTGAAACCATTTTGTGGCAAGGGCTTAACCATACATCTGACCATCCGAAGCAGCGACGACAACAATAGCACCGTCCATGTTAGCAGCACCAGTGATCATGTTCTTAATGTAATCGGCGTGACCGGGGCAGTCGACGTGAGCATAGTGCCTCTCATCGGTGGAGAACTCAATGTGGGCAGTCGAGATGGTGATACCACGCTTACGCTCCTCAGGGGCCTTGTCAATGGCACCATACTCAAGGAACTGAGCGAGGCCCTTAGAAGCCTGGTGCTTGGTGATGGCGGCAGTCAAGGTGGTCTAAACAGCAACGTGTTAGAGCCCAGGCTACTTCGGGAAAAAAGACAATAAATCCAGTCTCGCGCTTACCTTGCCGTGATCGACGTGACCAATGGTACCTGTAGGTAGCCATTAGCAATAGCCCTGCTGGTAGCAGATAATTTTGTAATAGGTCAATACATACCAATGTTGACGTGAGGCTTAGAGCGCTCGAAGGCAGTTGCCATACCACGGGCAGCCAGTCTGTCTTTACCCAAAACATGCTGAACGGGGTTGACAGCGCGAGGGCGAAGCAGGGAGGCCCTGCTGGCGCGGAAGAGGAGGTTGGCGGTTCTGGAGATGCTAGACATGTTGACTGCCCTGCAGTGTAATGACAAACGAAAGATGAACCAAAGGAAACGCGATGGAATGGAAGAAACGGAGCTGGTCTGAGGGTCGAGAAGATCTCCAGTCCCCCGAAAAATTTAGGGAGACGCTTAGTCATCCGTGAGCCAATCATCGGCGCCGGATTGCGGAGGCTTTCCCCATCCAACAACGGAGTATTATGGAACGAGGTCAACCCGGGTGAGAAGCTATCGGTACCTAGGTACTACCTTAGGTATGTGAATGTTTAGCAGAACAATTATACCTGCATTGTTTAATGTTTCTGGATATACCATATATCACTACCGAGGACCTGGTCAAGAACCTTGACTAGTAACAGATGCCGGTTACAGTTTATCTGCATACGGAATTATCAATGTAGTACAACATCGTGGCGCCGGGCACATCCATTATATCTACAGAGTGCTCTGCCAACTTGTGTCCATAATATACACCACATAAAGGTTAAACAAAGGAATCATTGGCCCGAATCCTTTCTCTTCACAACAAGTACCACATGTTTGCCGGGTTCTCCCTCCATCGGTTTCACTTGCATAGCATTGGCATCCTTAGTAGCCTGCAACACACTATCCATCACATGTTTGACTTCCTCCACAGTGGGTGACCTCTTGCCTCTCTTCTTGGTCAATATAACCTCTACTTTCCGGCCCTTGTCCAGGAAGCTTGTCAATTGCTTCAGGCGGTGGGCGAGATCATGGGCGTCGATAGCCCAGTTCAGCTCGATCTGCTTAAGCGAATTCTTGTTGACGTGAGCAGCTTTTGCTTTCGCACGTTCTTGTTCCCGCATCTCAAGTCGATTTACGACCTTGCATACAGGTGCCCGGCCGCGGAAGCCAGGGGAGACCTGTAATATGAAGTTGTCCGGGCGCTCTATTGTCAGCAAGGCATCATGAAGCCTTACTGGTGGATCCAGTTTACCATCCTCGTTCACGAGTTGGATATATTCTGACCGGATTTCTTCATCTTTCACCTGTCTTGCCCTTGCCTGGAGCAGAGCATCTTGCTGTTGAGGCTGGCGGCGGATGGAAAGAAGGCGCGAGTGCGCGAAGGTCGGAAGAAAAGCGGGACGGAGAAACTGGGGTCTAGGAGTTTCTATAGGTGCAAGAAAGATACGACGCAAGGCTTGTGTCGTAGAGATGAAACCACGTATATGCTTCATCTCGGACTGTAGTCAGGGTTGGAGGACTAGAGAGAAAGCTCACAATCGATGGTTCAGGTGAGTATTCAAAAATGATAAATAAAAAACAATGAACTCGCTTTCGAAACAACTGATTACAGCGCCAGATATGCCTAATCGGTCGTGAAAAGATCGAGAGGGGAGCTCCCAAAAGAGATATAGTTTGGAATGTATGATGAACCCCAGCTACGTTCGTCCCGTCATTCAACGGACGCATTCGGCGGCGAACCAGCCACACGTGCGCCACACACTCACGGGGGCGGGATCGAGACCCTGAGGCCCGGCCGCCTGTAATTTATCTCCTTTCGGTTGCGCCCTTTTCCTCTCCTGACATCTATCAACCCTCTTTTCGCTGGTTTTGCTTTGCCATCCACGATCCTTTTTGGGCTGGTCCGGAGGCTCCTGGAGGATCTATGGTTTCTCTTCATTTCGACCGTTAATCTATCTTTCTTTTCCAACTCGGTCGAAACTATAACAGCGTTGACCCGGAACGAAACGCCACTCGCTCGTCCTCTGTCTTATCTTTTGCATGTCGACTGGAGTTGACGGTCGACATATCAACCGCACACCACCTTTCCAGAGGCCAGGCTCTGAAGTCAGTAGACGTTCCAATTCGCGGGCGTCCCAACCCGCGAACATACTACGCAAATCACCGGACACTTGTCAAAGTCCGTCAACCGACATGATGGCACAAAGCCAGAGGGCCCGGTACCTGAAGACCGGCGCCATCGTGGGCGCCTTGTTTTTGATGATCCTTTGGCTCTCACCATCGAAGCCAGCAGTGACAGGCTTTGGCCGCGGTATGTTGCGTACAATTGTTCACCGACTAATTATGTCCACTAATAGGCCGTACAGAGAAATCTCCCACTGGTGTCGCTCCTCTAACAGACAAATGTACTAAGCCATATGATCCCTCAAAACCGTTGATTCAGTACGCTCTTATGATCGATGCTGGCAGTCAGGGCTCTCGAATCCATGTCTACCGGTTCAACAACTGCGGCCCTACTCCCGAGCTTGAACACGAGGAGTTTGAGCAGACTGAGAAGAAGAAGGGCGGTTCCGGATTGAGCTCATACAAGGAAGATGCCGAAGGAGCTGCCAAGAGTCTTGACCCTCTCATGCAGGTTGCAATGAGGACCGTTCCTGAAGAGTATAAACATTGCTCTCCAGTCGCCGTCAAGGCTACTGCCGGTTTGCGAATGCTTGGGCCGGAGATGAGCCAGAACATTTTGGAAGCAGTAAGGAATCGCCTGGAACTGTCTATCCCTTCCCCGTTGTCTCTCGTGAGAAGGGGGGCGTTGAGATTATGGATGGATCCGACGAGGGTGTTTACGCATGGATTACAACAAACTATCTTCTCGGAAAGATCGGCGGCCCAGACGAAACGCCGACTGCTGCGATCTTTGACCTAGGTGGCGGTTCTACTCAGATTGTTTTCCAGCCCACATTCGAAAAGAGCAAGTCAGGTGGTATGCCGGAACGCTTAGCTGACGGCGATCACAAGTATGAGCTCCAGTTCGGTGGACGGGGCTTTGAGCTGTACCAACACTCTCACCTTGGATACGGTCTCATGGCTGCACGTGAAGCCATTCACAAAGCTGTCGTCGAGGGTAAACTGGCCTCCAGCGGAAACGATATGGCTTGGTTGAAGCAGCCCATTGCTAACCCCTGTATCGCACCTGGTATGGAGCGCGATGTGGACGTGAAATTCGACAATGAGCACCCACTTGGACCAAAGGTGACTGTCAAGATGGTTGGCCCGCAGGACGGATCTTCTTCGCCTGCCCTGTGCCGTGCTTCGCCGAGAAGATCCTCAAGAAGGAAGCTGAATGCAAACTCGCACCTTGCTCCTTTAATGGTGTTCATCAGCCCTCCCTTGAGAAGACATTTTCCAGGGAAGATGTTTATATCTTCTCCTACTTCTTTGACCGCACCAAGCCACTGGGCATGCCTGACTCTTTCACCTTGGAGGAGTTGCGCCAGCTCACGTCCACGGTCTGCGCCGGCCAATCGTCATGGAAGATTTTCGAAGGCATGGGAGAAGCCATGGCCGAGTTGCGCGACCGTCCTGAGTGGTGTTTGGATTTGAACTTCATGCTTGCACTGCTGCACTCTGGTTACGAGATGCCGTTGTCCCGAGAAGTTAAGATCGCTAAGAAGATTAAGAACAACGAACTTGGCTGGTGTCTAGGCGCAAGGTAAATACCCCGTTGAATCTTTTCATCGTTTTATTATGTTTGAGTTTGTGCTAATGTTTTCTCACAGCTTGCCTCTTTTGAGCCAGGAATCCGGATGGACTTGCCGCGTGAAGGAAGTCTCTTAAATATGATGGATATGGCGGTATGGTGATGCATTGAATTTTATCACATCAGATGGCATGTGTACATCTGTTTTCTTCTCATGCAAATATGGCTAGATTTTCGTCACGTCGATGATATTATTACTGTCTCTATTAGACTTTGCTCGATCCCCTGTATGGTATAGGAAAAGAACTTGAAAATGGAATTGATGTCCTGAATACTGCTAGAATTCATATGCTATTACAGCCTCTGGGCCAAGCTATACAATTACTCTAGTCTATTCTTCCAGCGACGACATAACAAAAACTTTTAGATCCCGCGTAGAGGAATAACCAAAGGCCAAGAAGAGAATATATCGTACAGTAAGTTGATCACGCACAAAAAGCTCATCCAATATGTAGGTAAAAACATATCACACCCGTAAGCGCCGTCCATGCAACCCAATCCCACATTTACTGGTTTTTATTCGTTCATTTCTTCAATAGTTGGCTTTTTCGACGATGTAGTATCTTTGTTCCCCATCAGAGTCTCCAACACGTTCGACTCGGGTGATGCATTAGGGTGTGATTCTGCGTGGTTGGATGCAGGGCCTTCGTCCGAGCCTTCGCTCTTTGCACTAGGGTCGAGGCCGTCGGCGGGGCGTTTCTCTTCCAGGACGCCTAGGCCCAGATTCTGTAGAAGAATTGTTGATCAGCACAAGTAAACAAGAACCGATGCGAAAGATTTGCTCACCATCTCAATATATTGACCATCAGTTTGATCATCCACCTCGTCCAACCTCAGGTCCTTTCCCCTCCCAGCCTCTATCTCTTGCTGTAGTTTATCATTGGCACTTTTCATTTGTGGGAGAAACGCAGACAATCGGGAGAGGATATCGGAATTTTTGTCGATACGATGTATTTGAGGTTTTTGTGGAGCAGGTATGCGCGGTAAAGTGTGATCGGAGCCATTGTCACTTTTTACATCATGATCTTGGTCCTCTTCCTCGGCGTCATCCTCATCGTCCTCGTCACTATCACTCCCGGAGGATGAGGTGTAGTCGTCATCGTCACTGTCGCTATCATTTTTGGCGGGAGAAGCGTGTGCCTTTTTGACGTTGTCGCGCAGGGCTAACGAGAATACGCGCCGCTCGTCACTCTCGTCGCCAACGTTCTCATTCTGATTGGAAAGGCTCCCGGACCGTTTAGAGGAAGAAACGGCATCGCATGCAAGTTGCGGTTGGGGATCGTCGGACTGCGGGCGCTTGCGATCACTATCAGCCATGATTGCGCCCTGCCAATGAAGAGTTACTTTTCCCCTCCTTTACACCTCACGGCGTTTCGCACAGGATGTGGGGGGCGGCTCGAGGAAGTCGACTAGATTTCCCAGGGGGAGAGTGGGCAATAATTGGTGCGAAGAGTGGATTTAGGGGGTTGTTTGAAAACGGAGGTTGGTTGATTAAGGATAATCTGGGAAGTCGTAAGAACCAAACATCGTCCATCATGCCGGCTTGTCGCTCACATTGAAGAAGCATGACAGGGATGTTTTTGGACGGACGGGGCCAATGGGGGCCAGAATTTGATCTCGATTTTCGCATTGCATGAAAGATCTTATTCTCTTTCTCTCCTATTGACACTTTGATCCTGTTTCACACCCCGCTCGAATGGATTTTGCCGTCGTTGCCCGGTCCGTGCCTGGTGATTTATATTGTTTCCCAAGAGGCTTGGCTCCAGCAGATGTTTCTGGCAAGCTGTCTCCTGATCCCTGAAGTATCAGTTGTTTTTACAGAAATTTATACCATACGGTAAGCATATACACCAACACTTTTCAATCTTGTGACTTTACGCTGCCTGGATCGCTGTCAATGGTCCTGAACGCGTCCAGGTGTGAACTATATCCCGCATCTGTTCATGTCCGGCCCTACCTATCTTACCTACTATATTCATTCAGATACATCACCTGTGTACTGTAACTTACACGAGGAATAGCGATTGAGAGGTGTATTTAACTCGAATCACCGAGAAAGAAGTGGATGCCCCCTACACTGCAGGAACTGTACGCACAAGAGGCATCCTTTGACTACCTGGTACTCCAGGTTTTTGGCATGAGTTCTCGCACCTGCCTTCTATTCTCATATTAAGGAAGTGTAACTCCCCTAAAGTCACACAATTCCACCTTTATCCCCATCTCAGTATGGCCATCCCAAGAGTCCATGTCAATGAGAAAAGCCCCCTGGGCGAGAACACCAACACAAAAGATAGCGGCATCGACAAGCGACAATCGGCACAAATCATTGCCCCAACGCGAAAGTCACTACATCAGAACATCTTTGGGAAGCTCCGTCCTCTGCCTTTCCAGTATCACTGGACAGTCTGGTATGACAGGCACTCCGACTCCACCGACTACGATAACAGGCTGTACGTCCTTCATGAAGATGTCGCCGATATTGCGACCTTCTACCGGGTTTACAACAACTACCCATGGGAGAAGATCCGGCTCAGAGACACGGTGCATATCTTTCGCAAGGGGGTGCGTCCCGTGTGGGAAGACCAGGAGAACCTGAAGGGAGGATGTTGGAGATTCCGTGTGCCGAAGAGTAAAGCCCAGGAGTTCTTCCATGAGATTGCTATTCTCTGCATGGCAAATGAATTTCAGGCCGTCCTTGAGCAGGGTTCGTTTCCTCCCTACTATCCAGTGTCTCCTGAGACATTAATAACTAATTTGCCTATATATAGAACATGACCATGTTCTCGGGGTTTCAACCTCAGTCCGGTTCAACACTCATCTAATCTCGGTTTGGAACAAGCTTGGCTCCAATGAACGTTCTATCAAGGCATTGGAAAGAACTATCCTCGACCGATTGTCGCCGGAACTACGACCCACTGGGACGGGGTCCAATGCGTATTTCTATAAGCGTCACGATGAGAACGACGGATATCAAGAAGCTGTTGAGCGAGCTGCCTCGAAGGACTGAGGGATTCTTTTAAATACGCTGTGTTGTACTAGAATAGTTGATAGTCTTTCTCGCTCCGGTCTGGTTTCAGGGACTTCTCTGTTCATGCGCTACTGGCATAGCGCTGTTTAAGATAGGTCCAAATTCTGAACCGCTCAGCGTCATTTTCTAGCGTCTATGGTATCTTGATTTTGCCCATACCAGGTTCATTAGATGATTATCATTATTGCCTTCCGTGCCTCTGTTATGATACATGCCTCGGTTTGAAATCTAAAGTAGTGTACACAGTTCATTTATATTATTAACATGCTGCAGGTCTACCGACTTCGGCTCCTCCGACTAGGGCTTTTCCTTCGTGGTCTCCGATCATCAGGTTCATGACTTCGATCCGCATCCTTCTCACGGTCACGCTCTCGCTCTCCACCGGGTATATATCGATCAATCTCAACAAAGCGCGGTCGGTCATCACGCTCCGGTCGCTCGGGGGATCGGACGCGCCGACGAGGGGAACGACTTCGATTGCTAGTCGGGGGTACATACCGGTCGATATCAAGAACGCTCGGAGATCGCCGGCGTGAGCGAGACCCTCTCCGCGAGGAGGCGGACACACGGGAGCCAGATTTATCTCGCTCACGTTTACTGTCACGCTCTTTATCCCGCTCTCGACCACGGTCACGGTCACGATCATGTTCGCGCTCCCGGTGCCTCTGACGGGAGCGAGAGCGCGATCGGTATCTAGCGCGCGATCGGGACCGAGAATAACGCCGTCGACGATAGTCATCACGGTCACCATCGCGATCGCGATCTCGCTCTCTGTCCCTGTCCCTGTCCCTGTCATGATCTCGGTCCCTATCTCTTCTCTCCCTATCCCGGTCGCGACTGCGGTCCCGGCGATATTCATGATCTCGCTCTCTGTCACGCTCTGTACTTCTCTCCCGGTATCGAGGTCTAGACCGAGTTCGCTCTAGATTGCGTTCCCGATCCCGATCCCGGTCCTGCCCTCGGGTGGTAGATCTACTCCTACTCCGACGATTAGGCCGATAACTTCGATCACCATACCGGTCTTCCCGGAAATCACGAATAGCAAGCCTATCATCAGAGGCGCGGTCGCGCGGCCGCGCCGATATATCTCGTGAGTTCCGGCGGTTTTCGTCAAATCGAGACGTATACCGTCTCCTTGAACGACTACGGCTATCATCCCGTCTCCGAGTGCGATTGCGCTCATCTGCAGTCGAACCACGGCGCCAACTCTGGTCGGTGTCTACAGCTGGGCTTCCGGACTTGGTGGGCGTATTAGAGAATTTCGATTCTGAGGTACCTTTCGGCTTCGTCGGTGGCGGTTTAAGGCCATTTTCAATTGCTTCTGCTTCTTCGAAGTCAAATTCGGGTTTCTGTCGAGCTTTAGCCGCAAGTTCTTCGCCTTCTTTCAGGAGAAGCTGCAAAGCCGCTTCCTCCAATGACTTCTCATCCACAGGGGGCGGAGGCGGAGGCGGAGCTGCCGGCGTGGGTTCCTTTGGTGTTGCAGACGTATCCCGTCGTGAATCGCGTACACGGGGAGATAATCCACGATCAGAGCGGTGGCCTAGCGAGCGGTCACGACGATAGCGGTCACGGTCCCTATCGCGATCTCGTTCGGAATCTCTATCCCTCGTGCGACTGCGGTCACGCCAATCACGATATTTTTCACGTTCCTCCCGTCGTCGTCGTTCGTATCGTTCCTGCCGTTCCTTTTCTCTTTGCTCATCCTGTACTCGCTGTTCTGCGCGGCGCTGTTCCTCACGCTCCCTTCTTCTTGCCCTTTCTTCCTCCTTTTGCCGATCTAGCTCACGTTGCTTGCGCTTCTCCTCCGCTTTTCGTCGCGCTTCCTCTTCTTCGGCTTCTTTCTGTTTGCGCAAGGTCTCTTGCCACACCTTCTCTCGCTCCTCCCGCTTAGCTTTAACATGTGCAGCGTAGTCTTCGTCCGTCTTATTCCCAGCCTGCTCTTCGCGAGCGGCAGCTTCATCGCCAATCTCCTCGCGGCGAATCTCTCGGATAGACTCTAGGATAGCGGGAAGATGTTTCGAAGCCAGCGCATCAAGCGACGCCTCGACGGTTTTATAGATGTCGCTACGATCCACAGCTCCTTCGATTAGCGTCGCAGCTTTTCCACGTTCACGAGAAAGTAGTTCTGGTTCGCGAGTGATCTCGGATTCCGCTAATTCGACTAATAGATTGGTAAACTCTACCCTCCCTTCCTACATGCGAGCGCATTAGCAAGGGAACAATCATGTACGACTGAGAACCAGAATGTAAAATGAATTAACTACTAAACATACTCCTTCATCAAATTCCGTCCATAATTTCTTTCGCGTAGTGTCGAAGCCGCCCCTTTTCTTAAATGCGTGGAGGAGATTCTCAATAGTCCTATGCTGCGTGGGAGACAATGGTAACTCTTCGGTTTTGAACTTCTTTCGTTGCAAGCTCTCAATATCCACCGACGGCCGTTTAACACCAGCAGATTCAACATCCGGCATCTCCTCTGGACCAGCCATGCCGAGAAGCCAGAAAAAAAGTATAATCAAAAAATATCAGCGAACCCCACTTTAAGGGCTTTCTGACGTTCCTCCAAGGCTGGCCAAAAAGGAAGCGCAAATCTATGTCGCGCGGCCCGCATCCCAGGAGCGCGACTGTTGGCCGGGGCCCTTATCGGAGGAACAATATTCCGTGACAAGATTGGGAACTGCGGCCCCGTGATTCGATGGAGTGGGAGAACATGAGAATCAACCTCATCTCCGCCGAACAAGCTCACCAAATCGCCGGTTCGGAGCTCAGATTACGCAGTGACCGCTTGATCTTCGATTGAAGCGAATCCGGATCCAATCCCTCATTTATCGACCCTTATTCCGACGCTCTCCTTCCCGTTCCGCGCACTCCGCACCACTCTTCATCATGGTCCACAAAGTCCTCTTCTGGGGCGGCTTCGGTATGCACTGCATATTTACCCCATGATAACCCTCATTGGGACCTGTCTCGGTCCCGAACTGGGCTATCGGGCCTTCCACTAACGGTACAACCAGGCATCGCCGTCCGTCTCTGGCAGCTCGGAATCGAAATGCGTCCCATTCTCGCCAAGGAATCTCTCTGGGTGTACCCTCTCTTCGCCGGTGTCGGTAGCAGCTTCGGATACTGGCTCCAGGGCGTCGAGGACAGACAGCTCAAGATCCTTGCGCAGCGCCGCGAGGCTATTCTCGAAAAGCGTCGGAGACGTGACCAGACCACATTGAGCAAGGTTGAGGAGGCCGGCACTCTTGCCGCGACGTCGTGAATGTGATATAGGTGGTTGGAGGACAGGATTAGGAGACGATGGCTGTGTTAGTCGACTTGGTTGGCCAACGGTCCAGTCGTTCTTGTATCAAAATTCGATCGGTTATGCTCGGGCTCCTGTTACCGAAAGAGGGGAAGACATGAAGGCTTTTAGTGCCTATGAGCAAGACCTAAATTATGTGTTACTTTCAATTGTTTTATTCCACTGTTCGCATTGCAATGGCAGATTTTCGTTTGCTTTCTGATTGTATCTGTATGTTGATGTCGTTGCTCGGTAGCTCCTGTCATCTTTCTTTCGAGATATGATCCGTACAGGGTTTCTATTTCCCTGTGTTCACACAAGCCAGGTATCCCATAAAGGCTGTGGATTAAGGTGTCTAGCATCTACAATTCATATACAGCGAAGAAACCAATCCCGAATTTAGTGAAATCTTTGATCATCTGGTAGCCTCAAGAAGGTTGTTGGTTTGAAAGATTTCCATATACCCCAAATTGGGCGGTCAAAAACGGCCAAATATATGGTGATTAAATTTCCACAGAGTGAACAATGCATATACGTGTTACATTAATGTACAGTTGAGCATAACGTTTCAAGAAAGAAGCTCCGTCATCATGGCCGTATCGTGCAATCATGACTTCTCTATCGTAAATTGCAAGGACACTTCCCACCTCTGACCTCCAGACCCATATCCACCACCTAATCGGTTTCTGACTAGGCTAGAGATACGCTCTCGAAGTCGAATGAGATTTTCTTCTGAGCCTGAAACACGCAGCTTTAAATCTGCCATGCATAATCCGTAATGGACCTGCCAAAACCTGGCGTCGTCGACACCGAACACGCACGGGTCGGCTTCAATATCTCGGATGACGTCCTTTACTCCCGGGCCAGAATATGACATAAGAAGCATAGAACCAAGTGTCTTGACCAAGCGCACACCGAGGACGCACATGGAAATAGAAATTGTACTGGACAAGAGAACGTCAAGCCAGTTGTAGAGGCGCACAGAGACTAGGGGAAGTAGCAGGAGAAGTGTGGAGCAAGAAAGCGTAAGAAAATGAGATGGGTTGCTGAGTACTGAAGGCAGAGATTCAATATACCCAAATCGCATCGCCTTTCCTATCCGCCCATGGTTCTTTAGCCCAATTGCAGAGATTAGCGTGGATGTGATGGCCAACAGAGCAGTGACATCTACACTGCCTACAGACACACGTTCATGCGCATGAGAGTGGTGGGGCTCGTGGCCAGATGACTCGAGAAAATGCTGCAAGTTATGGGAGATAAGATCCATTCCCATAAAAAGCAGAAGCACGCACATTGCGAAACCGGCGAGCACTTCCGCCCGTTCCAGTCCAAATGGATGTCGAACGCTGGATCGCTTCCATACCTCGAAATTGCTTAATACATCCACCGAAACACAAAGCAAAGCCCCAAGAGAGTCAAACAGTATGAGGTGGGACAAAGCCGTCATCGCCAGGGAACCGTGCGCACTCCAAAGAGTGTATGCGGCGACAAACATATGACACACACTCCACCAAAACCGCGTTTTCTGATCTTTCGACATGCTCGCGCAGCACTCCTTGAAAGTCGGGATCGGCAATGAATTCGGTAAGGCTAATGGCGCCCTGGGTGGTGGCTCGAGGAATATCTGATGTGATATACTACTATGCTTATACTTGTGTCCGCGTCGCTGGCCAATGTTCTATACGCAATTGATAAATAATCAGCATCATTTCGTATGCAATTACATACGAAGAGGGCATATGAACTTACGGACTTGACCACCGGGCTTTTTGCCATGGTGGTGGTCTTGAAATTGAATGGTCCAGCTGAGCCATTGTCGCCCTGGCTGTTCTGAGGTACATTATCGGAAGGGCTCAGAGCGAAGGATGCTCGCGTAGGACTCAGGCGATTCGGACCTCAGAATTCAAAGAGCCCCTTTGTAGGGGGAAAGTGTCTACCAATGGTGACAAAGAATCTTTGTCCTGCGCATCAAGGCGGGAAGAGTTGTCTGGGGCGCTTGGGGGATCATCGGGGGGTGGAGTGGGAGTGCGCGGAGGAAGAGGAATAGGAAGGTTTGATGCCATTTGCACCAGAAAATCCAAAGGCGCCTGCGCCGAACCAAGGATATGTTCAATTGAGGAATGTTACTGTGTTCTGTGGGTCAGGGATGGAGAAAGGATGATAGAGCAAGAGATAGGGAAGGGTCACGGGCTCGATCGTCCCGAGTTATCGATAAATCAGGAGGCGGAAAGGCGGGGAGGTTGGTGCCGGGGAAGCCTGAGGCCTCGACTCACTCATCGCATCATCGACTCCCAGTTTATCCGTGTCGTCATTCATGATAGCCTTGTTTACGCCCTCAAACCTGGTCGACTCTCCTTCCACAACATCATATTTAATCTTCATTGCTGCGCCACGTCCTGGACTGGCAATGCAGCACAACGTACGCCATTCCATTTGAGGAGACTCCAACTCCGATGCCCGCATTTCCTCGGCATCTATGGATCACCGCGGTTCCTTCTTTTTCTTCCTGGTCGTTTTCTACCTGCTCCTCAGCTCCCAATCTCATCCCCCTTTGATTTCTCAGGACCGAGAACGTCAACGGGAAATTGCGAGGGAAAAGGATGCGCTTCGTCTGCTGAATGAGTCCAAGTATGGGGACTTTAACCCACCCGCCGACCAATGGCTGCCTTTTCCGGGAGTGAGGAAGAACGACAGTTACGCTTGGGAGATTCTTTCGGAAGCTCAGGATAGGGCGCGCTATCAGTTACGGTCTGTTATTTCAAATGCTGGGTTAGATGTTCCCAAAGGTCTCGATGACCCGGCCGAATCGCAGGCGCTCAACCTGACGGAGTTGCTTCTCCCCGTCTACCGTAATGCGACTGGTAAACTGCGCGGAGATTGGGTGCGGCGCAAGCTGGAAAAAGCTCATCGCCCGTTGAATACTACTGCCATCGTGTTGGAAAATGAATACTTCACGCACGAGTTTAGCCACAATGTCACTGGCAATACGGGATCCTTCTATCTAGACTTGCGTGAGGGAGGTGGCGAAGAGCTTCGGCTGCGTAATGGCCACATTCGTGAGATTCGAGCGACTTTAGCCGTGGAAAACGGCGACTTTTGGGGAAATACATGGTACCTACCTTTATTCGGTATTCATTTCCCTGAAACGGGGAGCATTATCCTGACTACAACGAGCGAGAAGTTCGGTGGCATTTTTACCTTGCCCCATTTGGCACTTACATCAGATGCATACGACCTTTCGCACCAGCTTCTCATGAAGTCTCTCTCGGATACAATATCTGAGAAACAAAACCGGGCACCTACGCTTTTTCCCTGGTCCTCGCTTGTTGGGGCGGAACAGGTAGAGTTCCCTGCGCCGAAGTGTGAGCACATAGTCTACCTACAACAGCATCCGGTTACCGTCCATAACTACCTTGCGGACAGGCAAGCCATCGAACAGATTGAGCAGGAGCTCAGATTCCCTATGGGCGCACCGATCCCCTCTCCTCCATCTATGGTCATGTCAGCTGTTGTATTTTCTCCCGACTGCGGGTACGTCCTTGAGACTAAGGGCGCACCTGATTACTCTCCCACTGAAGCACTATATCTATCCGGGCCAAAGCTGGAGCAGTTTGGAAAATCTTCAGCTCGAATAATCTTCCTAATATGTGGTATCTCTGTTGCACAACTTGCCCTGCTTTTGCGGCAGGTCAAGGAGGCTTCGACGCCTTCCACCAGGAGTCGTATCAGTTTCTATACGATTGCATTGATGGCTTTTGGAGACTCATTTTTACTCGTCTTCATGTTGCTGGAACTATATCCAGCGGTCTCTTTCTTACTCTTGACGACTGCATCATTCCTTACTTTCCTTTCAGTCAGCTACATCGGAATGAAATTCATGATGGAAATATGGGCGGTCCAGGCACCGGAACGACGGGAACAGGACCGCCGATCCAACCCTTCAGCAGCAGCAGCACGCCCGGCCAATCTACCATTGCCAGCCACCACACGACTTAGAGACTCCGGTGCAACGCCTATCATCCTAACCCCAGACCAGGATCCTCCAGAGGAAGAGGATGAGCCGCCTCCGAATCGTAGCACCACACCGACAGCCCGAGAGACCCGCAGTGATGTAGGAGCCATGTATGCACGGTTTTATTTTATCCTATTCGTCATGCTCATCATTTCCATCTGGTCATTCCTATGGCCCAATCGACTAGGAGCGCT